CTAAGGCACAGACAACACAGAGGTATGCTGTTCTACCACCAGAAAACACACATCATCACACCACAGTGTCACTGTATACAGCTGTACTAGGTGAGGTGACTGTGTGTTTGTGTCACAGGATGGCTGGACTGCTCTCACTGGCAGCTCAGAGAGGCAAAGTTGATGTGTGAGACTACTGACTGAAGCTCAGGCTCTGTCAACATACTGACTGAGGTACAACACTATGTCATGTCTAATGATGGTCATTTATGTCAGAATTATCAGTATCCATACGAATTTCCACTATGATAATGTGTGTTGATACATGTACAGATGGCAGTACTCCTCTCTACACTCGCCAGTTGAGAGACATGCAGCAGTTGTTAACTACTACTACTTCAACAACATGCTGATGTCAGCATCTGTAAGACGGTAATGTGGCTCCAAGATCCTCCATGGTCTCTATGACTTTACGATATAATACTCTAGGATGCTTACTCCCTAATGGCAGCATCATTCAATGGCATACTGATGTGTACAAACACTGATTGAGGCTAAGGCACAGATCAACACACAGAATGAGGTATGCTGTTCCTACCACCAGAAAAACACATCATCACACACAGTTACTGTATACACTGTACTAGGTGAGGTGACTGTGTGTTTGGTCCACAGGGTGGCTGGACTGCTCTTCACCTGGCAGCTCAAGAAGGCAAAGTTGATGTGGTGAGACTACTGACTGAAGCTCAGGCTCTGGTCAACATACAGACTAAGGTAAGTATATACTCGATGACATCATCATGACACTATCACCACAGAAGGGAAGCAGACCCATTGACATTGCCAGATCTAAGAGTCACTCAGAGATTGTTTGAAATCCTACAGAGAATGTAGCATTTTTGTAATGCACACTGTAAACACATCAATGATAATTATGATGGAGTCTGGTGAAACGTTTAGTACAAATATCTCGTACTACACATAGCAATAGCAGCTACTTGTAGAGTCTTGATGGTAGATTTCTTCCCTGTGGTCCCCTGGGTCTAGGAAAACTGGAGGTCAGAGAGGTCAGGTCACTGACATGAGTTGCCTGCATGGGGGAAACGTCATATCTGTCATCAATTGGAACATTTCTAACATGATTGGCGAACAAAGCGAGCCTACCTGTCTGAATTGAGCAATTTTATCTAGTATCTGAAATACATGCACCAATACTGAAAAGCAACACAGATAAACAGCTGGAATTTCACACTCGCATTCACTCACCAATCAATGATAAGGCCGCATTATATCAGCATGATTATTAATACTGGGATATGTATTTTTTGTTGGCTACTCAAATTTGAGTTGCATTCATGAATGGCTCTTTGAATGTTGTTTGAATAATACGAGCATTGGTCAAAATTGGAGAAGAAGAAAATAACCTGGACCTGAGAGAAGGAAGAAGGGTCTTCTATCAGTTGGTAGTTGAGGTCAGTGGTGGGTAACGAGTGAGTCCACGATACTCTCGGCTGGGAGCTACTGGTGGTGGCTTCTTCTTGGGGGGTGGCCTGTTCCCATTGGAGAACTAGACAAGAGAATGCAACCACATAACTATTAAATTTTAACTACTGTATATTCCCATAGATAGTGATTTCCGATATAGACAAAACCAGATTACATTAAAGTTGCACGTCTATTATGTGATAGATATACAGTTTAGAGTAAAGATAAGAAGTGACGGAGTCTCACTTGTCAGGAAGGGAGTCAGCCATGGTTCTCCCACTCCCACTGAGCTGGAGTGCAGAGTGGGTGGAGGGACGCAGAGGAGCTTCATCTCCTTCAATCTATCTTCGTCACTGCTGGACCAATCACTGCTTGATGACTCCTTGTCTCCTATTATATACCAGTTGATAAAAAAAGTGTGAAAGCACAAGTATAGTGGCATTCTTCAAAAGTATTGCAAAGTGTGTGGGCAAATCCTGAGGCATAACCAACTTCTCAGCTAAACAATCAAGGATGACTGTGGCAGTAATAATGGCTAATAAAATATTATAAATATCACTACATATGAAGCTGACACTGGCCTATTGTTTTAGTTTACCTACCTAACACTTTAAAAAATTTGGCCATTAGCTAAGTACACTACTGTCATATTCCCCATGATGCTGGAAAGTACACAATACCTGACACTGCACATTATGCTACTTGTATATACCTTTGCTACTGCTATCAGGAGGCGGTAGAGAGAACTGAGGTGTGGAAGTTCAACTATGTAAGTAGTTCCAATAGTGTCTTGTCCTCGTTCAGAGATGATGATGATGTCACCCACTGGATCCCACATGACATCTGTTTACCACTCCCAGCTCCTTTACCAAGAACTGTACTTGGTTTGAGAAGACCTGAAAGGGCAAAACTTTCCTGAATGTAAGGTAGAAGGACGTTTTCCTGTCCAAGATACACTTTAGCTACCTAAGCTTTTGAACAGTCTGCTTTACATAGTGTGGAGAAACTTTGGCTACGAAAACCCGAAGGCTAATGTTGCCGCATTGCCTAGCACACTGTGTCACCTTGCACAATAATTATGACAATTGCGATGCACACAGTGCTGCATCGTGCTTTAGTAGTTTCGACGCTCTGTCATGGTTCACTATAGATAATAACGTAATCTATGGGTCCACGGTATACGTTAAACTCACTAGTATGTTCATCAGTGCTACTGGACGGCAAGGGATGAAGATGATCCAGTTGAGGTAGGCAAGAGCTGCTCTCTCAGAGTCAGGGAGTGGTCTCAGACGATCAGTGGTGGGCGGGGAAGGCGAGGAAGAAGGCAGTGAGAATGAGAGTTTGAAGGGCTCCAGCGAGAGGCCGGAGGTGGAGGGAGGGAGATGGGTGGAGAGTGAGGTGGACAGGGAGTATGGAGAAGATGATGTGTAGGGAGGGAGGAGGGTGGAGGAGAAAGAAGGGTATCCTCCAAGTGTGGAGGTGTAGGTTGACGGACGAGTAAACGTAGAAGGATGAGATGTTTCAGGATGACCATATTGGTCGCGAAGACTGAGTAGCTAAAGAGTAAAAGAAAAGCATTAGCACATATTGCCAGTTTTAAGTAAATGCAGCTCACTTGGCATTCAAGCTGTAGGGCTTTCTGTTCTGCTGACTGAGCAGGTTCATCTGCAATCTGCAGCAGCTGGTTATGAACCTTACATTACAGTTCAGTAAAGATGCATGCAACACAAGAGAGAGAAAGAGAGTCTAAAATTGTCATAAGGATTGGGAGAGAGAATAGATTGTACCAAACATAAGCAGGTGCAACGCAAACACACACAATACTACTATACACTATATGCAGCTTGTTACCCTCGGCGCGCATGCGCAGCGAGGGTACAGTAGTTAGTTGGGTCTGTCTGTTTGTCTGTTTGTCTGTCTGTCTACATCTCACTCCTCGAACGTCTGTTCGTCCCAGAAACGATACCATCTACCCAACGGGCGACGAAGGTCAGAAAATAAAGGCGGTTTTCTCTGAAAATGCTCCATTGCAAAGCTAGAGCGCTTCCGGCATTCTGCGGCTAATGCGTAGTCGGCCATTTTTATCGCTGCGGAAAACGCACATGCGCTTATAATATCAGGCTTTAACCTCGACCGGGTCCGCTTGCTCTGTGTATCTTGAAGGCACAAGAAGTCACAACGAAGGGCGTGTATCGACTCTCGCATACTATCTACTACTGTAGCTAGCCCGTGTCAGACTCTCTGCGAGCTACTAGCGGGAGACCACGAGTAAACGCATACTAATAGCAGCCCAGCCCATCAATTAGCGGTACCGCGCATCCTCAGTTCGCCGAGGGTTTGCACTTTAGTGCTTTTCATTCTAGCTAGTACACCAGTAAAGCAATATCCAGTGTTCAGCTGCATCTGGGGGCCTATAACCGTTTCCTGGAGTTGTCGTAGTTACCTGGAGATGTAGCGGAATTTGGTCAGGTAGCCGACTTTGAGAAGTCGCCGTGGGTTATGTACATCTCCGGAAGGCTTCTGTATTTGGCGCCACCTCCTCCTTGTCCTAACCTAGCTAAATCATCTCTCCAACCTCTCGTTAATTGCTAACAACACACATACATACACACCCGCCAAAATGTCTACCCCGCCACAAAGACAAAGTAAAGCTAACACACGACGAGCGAGAGCTACGTACGTACCTTCTCGGACGAGGATCTCTCCGTCGCTCAGCGGGAAGAAGAGAGCAGTGGCGCGGCCCTTGAGCTCCTCGCACGTCCAGTCCAGCGGGTTCTCGGTAGGAGAGGAAGAGAAGGCGTTCGAATCTGAAACAGGGCCGTGCAGTTTCCAGAGGTCTGCTGCTGTTCTGAGGTTAATGCCATGAATAAACACCGCCGCCGCCGCCGCAGAGACCTTGAGTGTGCGCGTGGGCAAGGGGTTAACATTTTTATTAGCTGCCCTCTGCGCATGCGTGACGAGATTTCGCAGTGGAATAAAAGAAGCGTGTTGCCGGCTGCAAGCCCGCCGGTCTTGGAGACTAACTTTTGCGGGTTTTGGATTCCCGAATAGTGAGTTTCAACGAGAGCTAAATCTAGGGTGATTTGCTCTAGATTTCTGTTTGACTTTATTGCCAGAGACGGAGACATAATTATTTGGAGCGGTGGAGGAGGCCTTTTATAAATATCGACTAATGGCAGAGCAAAGGACACTTGAAAGGATACTTGGATCAGCAGCTGGAGACATACAATACCTCTGTGTGAGTTTGAAGGTGAGTAAAGTTATCCGTTATGTCATGTCTATAGCTGTTGTTCTGTTTCAGGAGGTGGAGTTATTTGAAGCAGCATTCTATGGATTGGAAGAGAGAGTGCAGCATCTTATTCTGCAGAAAGTCTTCATAAATTGTGTTTATAAGGTAGGTTAATGTCAGGAGAAATTTTTAGGTCAACATACAGACTAAGGGATAGCTAGCTATACACATAATTGTGCAGAATGCCAAGGTAATATCTGTAATGTGTCTCCTTTCAAAAATATTCAGCAGTCAGAATTTCTCATGATAATGTGTGTTGATACGTGTATCGACAGGATGGCGAGACTCCTCTCTACATTGCTAGTTTGAAAGGACATGGAGCAATTGTTAAACTACTACTTCACCAACAAGCTGATGTCAGCATCTGTAAAAAGGTAAATGTTGCTCCATTGATCATCTGTGTTTTTCTATGACTTTAGGATATTACTCTAGAATGGTTGGACTCCTCTAATGGCAGCATCATTCAATGGACATACTGATGTTGTACAAACACTGATTGAGGCTAAGGCACAGATCAACACACAGGAAGAGGTATGCTGTTCCTACCACCAGAAAACACACATCATCACACACAGTGTCACTGTATACAGCTGTACTAGGTGAGGTGACTGTGTGTTTGTGTCCACAGAATGGTGTCACTGCTCTTCACCTGGCAGCTCTAGGAGGCAAAGTTGATGTGGTGAGACTACTGACTGAAGCTCAGGCTCTGGTCAACATACAGACTAAGGTACACACACTATGTCATGTCTCCTCACATAGAGGATCCCATGGGATTGTTAGATGTTTTGTACACACACAGTTGTCAAACATAAACTTCACACTACTACATATACACCATGTGGGGCATGGGCGGTACTAATTGGAACCATGATAGTGTTGCTGTGCGCCACACTTTTACTGTTCCAGTGGTAAGTCCGTTTATTCTTCCTATTTTCTATCACATTTTTTACCCCTCAGTAAGTAAGTCATTTTACTAAAGATTGTATTTTTCTACAATGGCAATTTTCTACCAATTATATATTTTTCGTTTTTTATTTTTCGTCTTTTATGTATTTCGTACTGTGTATGTAATTTTATGACTATTCTATCATAGCGTAACTCTAATTTCTCACTCTGTGTTTCAGTCGTTGTTTGTGGTGTCGAGTTTGGAGACTGGGTGTGCCATAAAAGACTCTTTAACCAACCACCCCAGTTTTCAAGGCTGAGCACCCAGTGTCCTGCTCTCATGTCATGTGTATTTGTGAACAGAAGTCTCCACTAGGGATTTCTCATGATAATGTGTGTTGATACATGTACAGGATGGCATGACTCCTCTCTACATTGCCAGTTGCCAAGGACACGGAGCAGTTGTTAAACTACTACTTCAACAACATGCTGATATCAGTATCTGTAAGACGGTAATGTGGCTCCATAGCTCCTCTGTGTGTCTCTATGACTATACGATATTACTCTAGGATGGCTGTACTCCTCTAATGACAGCATCATCCAATGGACATATTGATGTTGTACAAACACTGATTGAGGCAAAGGCACAAATCAACACACAGGAAGAGGTATGCTGTTCCTGTTGTGTCGTGGCTAGCTGCACATTCGTATGGGGTTTCCATTTGCTTTGATGAATGTTCGGTACGGACTGTTCGATTCTGAGTTCGTGCTCGATTTCGATTCGTTCGATTGCGGTGCGTTCGAGTTGGAGTGTAGAATCATAACGTATTCCTGAAAGTGGTCCTCCTGAGACTCATGATCGGTCACCGAGTGCGCCTTCTCTTGTTTCTTGGTCTTGCTTCTGCAGACCTTTGCCAGGTGTCCCTTCTTTCCGCATGCTTGGCACACCATCTCCTTGCAGGGGCAGTTGGAGGCTTTGTGGTAGCCACCACACCTGTAGCAAGAACCAGACTTCCCGAAGGGTGCGGCGCCACTGGGCCTCTTCGTATTGTTCTGCTGTTTACGTTGCTGATCCATTTTGTACACAGGTGTCTGGGAAGAGGGGGGGGGCTTGCAAGGGCGCGGACTGATTCTTATCGCTTAGCCCACCCGTGAGGCGTAGCGAATCCTTTCCGCGGCTTCCGCCGCTAGGGCCACCTCCATGGCTTTCTCGAACGTCAGTTCGGTCTGTATCAGTAGCCTTCGCTGTATCCCCTTATTGTTAGTCCCACACACCAAGCGATCCCTCAACATATCACTAAGTACTTCCCCATACTCACAGTGTTCGCCAATCGTTCGTAATTCGGCAACATACACAGCGATCGTCTCTCCCTCTTTCTGCGAACGAGAGTTAAATTCGAAGCGCTTCACGATGGGCGAGGGTTTCGGATTGTAATGCTTGGTCGCCAGTTGTACCAGCTCGGCAAATTGATGCTCCTCTAGCCTCCTGGGGGATGCCAGAGTTTTCATGAGTCGGTAGGTACTTGGTCCCACAAAATTGCTTGTTTATTTTCGTCGGCCGCAATGTCGTTTGCCACAAAGTAGTGCGTTAGCCTCTCTGCATATTCGCACCATTCCTCTTGAGCCGGGTCGAACGATCCGATCGATCCGATTACCCCGTGTAGTGCGGCTCTTGAGGGCGCAGCGGCAGCGGCAACACTTGCTGCCTCAGGAACGATTCCCCCTCCACCATTAGTGGTCGACTCAGTCTCCATGTGTCCTCGTCGCCAATTGTTGTGTCGTGGCTAGCTGCACGCGGCACGAGTGACCGAGTAGATATGAAAAATAATCAATCTCTTTATCGAGCTCAAAGTACAACAGTAGCTGATAGGCGACTGACTTACAATAGCATGCATGCACGTTTTATACCCAGTGATGACGTAAAGGTGAGTCATACACAGACATACGCAATACAACAAGACATACATAATAGTCAATACATCACAGTTCCTACCACCAGTTGGAATGGACATGGAGCAGTTGTTAAACTATTACTTCAACAACATGCTGATGTCAGCATCGGTAGAAAGGTAATGTAGCTCCATAGATCCTCCGTGTGTTTCTATGACTTTACGATACTCTAGGATGGCTGGACTCCTCTAATGACAGCATCATCCAATGGACATACTGATGTTGTACAAACACTGATTGAGGCAAAGGCGCAAATCAACACACAGGAAGAGGTATGCTGTTCCTACCACCAGAAAACACACATCATCACACACAGTGTCACTGTATACAGCTGTACTAGGTGAGGTGACTGTGTGTTTGTGTCCACAGGATGGCAGGACTGCTCTTCACCTGGCAGCTCAAAAAGGCAAAGTTGATGTGGTGAGACTACTGACTGAAGCTCAGGCTCTGGTCAACATACAGACTAAGGTACACACACTATGTCATGTCTCCTCACATAGAGGATCCCATGTATAGGTAAGACGGCAAATTCGAGTGTCTTCGTGGTTCTAAAGCCCGCGTGGGAGGCTGGAATGACGCAATAGTAACCGAGGTGGAGCCGAGGTTTCTATTGCGTCATTCAGCCGACCACGAGGGCTGCAGAACCACGAAGGCACGAGAATTTGCCGTCTTAGTTGTTAAGAAAATGGATAGCCGTACGGTTGGCTGTAGCTTGTCCGCCTTCAACCTTGGTTGGTAGCAGCTCTTTGAAGAAAGCACCGCGGAGGAGAGTTCTCCCAAGCCGATACCGGGCGCAATCCACGATTGCGTCGATGCTAGTAAGTACTGCAGCGGCGTCTCAACTTTTCGACGATAGCCCGGCAGAGGAGAAGCCTCCCGATTCCACACTGGGCACTGGGCACTGGGCACTGTCGAAGACTTCGTCGACGTCGACAATGACTGAGAATCGCTGTTATTAGCAGCATCGCAACTGTTCGAGTCAGGGCGAGGTCTGAGCAGTCTCAGCCCGTGATCGTCGCTTCTGGACGCCCCGGTCTGCGCGTATATACTGTAAACGGGAGGGTCTCAGGTATCTTATCGCTAAGAGACCTGCGTGTAGGTGTCTTACCCCAAAATGAACCTCATTAGCTATTCATTTACAAAGCATTCTTGACATACCATTTTCTTAGGGATTGTTAGATGTTTTGTACACACACAGTTGTCCCACACAGTCACCTCACCTACAGTCAACACTATCGTGGTTCCAATTAGTGCTGCTGTACATGTAGAGCTCCACATCTTTTTTCTCTTCGCATCACATGGTCTAATATCTTCATGTAGTTTGGTATGTGCAGTAGTCTGTGTGGCAGGACCAGGACTGCTCTTTACCTGAGAGCTGAAGAAGGCAAAGGATTCATGTATCTACAGGATGGCATGACTCCTCTCTTCCTTGCCAGTTTGAAAGGACATGGAGCAGTCGTTAAAATACTACTTCAACAACATGCAGATATCAGTATCTGTAACAAGGTAATGTAGCTCCAAAGATCCTCCATGTGTTTCAACGATTATTACTCTAGAATGGATGGACTCCACTAATGGTAGCATCATTCAATGGACATACTGATATTGTACAAACACTGATTGAGGCTAAGGCACAGATCAACACACAGGACGAGGTATGCTGTTCCTACCACCAGAAAACACACATCATCACACACAGTGTCACTGTATACAGCTGTACTAGGTGAGGTGACTGTGTGTTTGTGTCCACAGGATGGCAGGACTGCTCTTCACCTGGCAGCTCAAAAAGGCAAAGTTGATGTGGTGAGACTACTGACTGAAGCTCAGGCTCTGGTCAACATACAGACCGAGGTACGTCATCTCTAATGATTGATGTACACCTCATATCAATCAATTAAGTGTGCAATAGCAACAGTGATGATGTTATGAATGTGTCCATTCTGAAGCCTCTACTAGGGATTTCTAATGATAATGTGTGTTGATACATGTACAGGATGGCATGACTCCTCTCTACATTGCCAGTGAGGAAGGACATGGAGCAGTTGTTAATTTACTACTTCAACAACATGCTGATATCAGTATCTGTAAGAAGGTAATGTTGCTCCATGGATCCTCCATGTGTTTCTATGACTTTACGATTATTACTCCAGAGAGGCAGGACTCCACTAATGAAAGCATCACTCTATGGACATACTGATGTTGTACAAACACTGATTGAGGCTAAGGCACAGATCAACACACAGGAAGAGGTATGCTGTTCCTACCACCAGAAAACACACATCATCACACACAGTGTCACTGTATACAGCTGTACTAGGTGAGGTGACTGTGTGTTTGTGTCCACAGGATGGCAGGACTGCTCTTCACCTGGCAGCTCAACAAGGCAAAGTTGATGTGGTGAGACTACTGACTGAAGCTCAGGCTCTGGTCAACATACAGACTAAGGTACGTCATCTCTAATGATTGATGTACACCTCATATCAATCAATTAAGTGTGCAATAGCAACAGTGATGATGTTATGAATGTGTCCATTCTGAAGCCTCTACTAGGGATTTCTAATGATAATGTGTGTTGATACATGTACAGGATGGCATGACTCCTCTCTACATTGCCAGTGAGGAAGGACATGGAGCAGTTGTTAATTTACTACTTCAACAACATGCCGATGTCAACATCTGTAAGAAGGTAATGTGGCTCCATAGATCCTCCATGTGTTTCTATGACTTTAGGATGTTACTCTAGAATGGCTGGACTCCTCTAATGACAGCATCACTCAATGGACATACTGATGTTGTACAAGCACTGATTGAGGCTAAGGCACAGATCAACACACAGAAAGAGGTATGCTGTTCCTACCACCAGAAAACACACATCATCACACACAGTGTCACTGTATACAGCTGTACTAGGTGAGGTGACTGTGTGTTTGTGTCCACAGGATGGCAGGACTGCTCTTCACATGGCAGTTAAAAAAGGCAAAGTTGATGTGGTGAGATTACTGACTGAAGCTCAGGCTCTGGCCAACATATGGACTAAGGTATTATACAGAAGTACTCTTATTTACGTGATGACATCATCATGACACAATCATCACACAAGGGGGACAGACCCATTGACATTGCCAGATCTAACGGTCACTCTGAGATTGTTGAAATCCTACAGAGAATGTAGCATTTTTTGACATTGTAATGCACACTGTATACACACAACTTTAACTTTGTCAAAATGATATGATGGAGTCTGGCGAAAAGATTCAGATATTTTAGTATCATACTACACATAGCAGTAGTAGCTACTTGTAGAGTCTTGATGGTAGATTTCTTCCCTGTGGTCCCCTGGGTCTAGGAAAACTGGAGGTCAGAGAGGTCAGGTCACTGACATGAGTTGCCTGCATGGGGGAAATGTCATATCTGTCATCAATTGGAACATTTCTAACATGATTGGCGAACAAAGCGAGCCTACCTGTCTGAATTGTGCAATTTTATCTAGTATCTGAAATACATGCACGCAACACAGATAAACAGCTGAAATATTTGCACTCGCATTCACTCGCCAATCAATGATAAGGCCCATTATAGGGATAGCAGCATGATTATTAATACTGGCATATGGACTGTTTTTTGTTGGCTACTCAAATTTGAGTCGCATTCATGAATGGCTCTTTGAAAGTTGTTTGAATAATACAAGAATTGATCAAAATTGGAGAAGAAAAAATAACCTGGACCTGAGAGAAGGAAGAAGGGTCTTCTATCAGTTGGTAGTTGAGGTCAGTGGTGGGTAACGAGTGAGTCCACGATACTCTCGGCTTGGGAGCTATTGGTGGTGGCTTCTTCTTGGGGGTGTGGCCTGTTCCCATTGGAGAACTAGGAAGATAATGCAGATTTTTGATGTACAAAAAGCCTTCAAAATGCTTAAATCAATCTCCAAGATGCTCTTGCAACATACGTACATGTAAAGTCACTTCTATTAGGCACTCCCATATAACATGACTACACTTTCAATTCATGGACCATGGATCAATCTTCCATGAATCCACTAAAACATCATGCAGAATTTCGGCACATCAAAGCCCATAGAACAAAGAGGAAGGATAAGAAGTCACGGAGTCTCACTTGTCAGGAAGGGAGTCAGCCATGGTTCTCCACTCCCACTGAGCCTGGAGTGCAGAGTGGGTGGAGGGACGCAGAGGAGCTTCATCTCCTTCATCATCATCTTCGTCACTGCTGGACCAATCACTGCTTGATGACTCCTCGTCTCCTATTATATACCAGTTGATAAAAAAGATATTCTTCTAAGACATAAGTATGTGAGCAGTTTTCAAAAGTATTGCAAAGGTGTGGGCAAATCCTGAGGCATAACCAACTTCCTTAGCTAATCAATCAAAGAGACTGTGGCAGTAATAATGGCTAAATAAAATATTACTACATTTGATGCTCACACTAGCCCCTATTGTTTAGTCACACTTTTAAAAATTGTGGCCATTAGCTAAGTACATACTGTCATATTCCCATGATGCTGGAAAGTACACAATACCTGAACTGCACATTACGCTACTTGTATATACCTTTGCTACTGCTATCGGGAGGCGGTAGAGAGAACTGAGGTGTAGGAAGTTCAACTGATGGTAGAGTAGTTCCAATAGTGTCTTGTCCTAGTTCAGAGGATGATGATGATGATGTCACCACTGGATCCCACATGACATCATGCTGCCACTCCCAGCTCCTTTACCAAGAACTGTACTTGGTTTGAGAAGACCTGAAAGGGCAAAACTCTCCTGAATGTAAGGTAGAAGGAAAGTTTTCCTGTCCAAGAAATTTAGAGCCTACACTTTACAGTCTGCTTTACATAGTGTGGAGAAACTTTGGCTACGAAAACCCGAAGATTAATGTTGCCGCATTGCCTAGCACACAGTGTCACCTTGCACAATAATTCAATGACTATGCACAAAGTGCTGCATCGTGCTTAGTAGTTTTGAACGCACATCTATGCTCTGTCATGGTTCACTATAGATAACGTAGTCTTTGTAATCTATGGGTCCACGGTATACGTCAACTCACTAGTATGTTCATCAGTGCTACTGGACGGCAAGGGATGTGAAAATGATCCAGTTGAGGTAGGCAGAGCTGCTCTCTCAGAGTCAGGGAGTGGTCTCAGATGATCAGTGGTGGGCGGGGAAGAAGCGAGAAAGAGGCAGTGAGATGAGAGTTTGAAGGGCTCCAGGGAGGTGGAGGGAGGGAGATGGGTGGAGAGTGAGGTGGACAGGGAGTATGGTGAAGATGATGTGTAGGGAGGAAGGAGGGTGGAGGAGAAAGAAGGGTATCCTCCAAGTGTGGAGGTGTAGGTTGACGGACGAGTAAACGTAGAAGGATGAGATGTTTCAGGATGACCATATTTGTCGCGAAGACTGAGTAGCTAAAGAGTAAAAGAAAAGCATTAGCACATATTGCCATTAGCACATATTGCCAGTTCTATTAAGTAAATGCTGCTCACTTGGCGTTCAAGCTGTAGGGCTTTCTGCTCTGCTGACTGAGCACGTTCATCTGCAATCTGCAGCAGCTGGTTATGAACCTTGCTTGAGACCTGCAGACACACAATAACTGTTTGTAAAGGAAGGGGAAAGGGAAGACGACCACGCAGAAGCAAAGTATATAGCAAGTAGAAAAGAAGAGAAAAGGAAGAGTATGGGGTACCATGCAGGCAGAGGGGAAAATTCAGAATTAATGAAGCAATGCAGAGGAAAAAGGGAAGAAAGGTAGAGAAAACGAGGTGTTGTATAATTATAAAAAAGAAGAGAAAAACGGCGGAAGGCAAAGAGGAAGGGGTAGCTACCGAAGTTTTAGTAAAAAAAAGAAGCAGAGTGAAAAGTAAGAGAGAGTGGGGAGTCTAGGATGGTCACCATCTCAGATCTGTCTCGAGTGGCCACTCCAACTCTGTCCAGGAGCCTCTTCACCTCACCTTGACTATGCAGCAGCTCAGTCTGGGCAACTGGAGACCGTGAATATAGTTAGCGTAAAATACTACAACAAATACAGGATTGCTGTAAAAATACTACTGTGGTTTGTACATACTAATTTAGCTACATAGAGCCATGAATATAATTAGGTAGAGTACTGGGAAGACTCGTACCTTCAAGTTTCTGTTCCGCTTCTTGAGCTCTGGCGTCAGCAAGCTTTGCCTGCAGCATGTAGTCTATTCCCCTGAAGTGGGTGAATGTGATTGCCACATGCTGCATACTATAACAAATGCAATGGGCAGTTTTTGCGAGCAAACGCGAGTAGTTCAATTTTTTGCAAGCGTATTTATCACATAAAATATGTTGTGCGGTGCCATAAAGTATGTGATGTGCGGTATGTGCAGCGCCTTCACAAATAAACAACCAGTATTGATACGACTAGGTACTAGGTAGGTTTGCTTTGCTCGCAAATTACACTAAGTACCAATGTAGGGCCTTACCCTCTGTTCATAAGAGACACTGCATTCTGTTCTTCGAGCTTGCGGACCTTCAAACAAGACACAACATAGAGGTAGCAATGCAGGACGGAGTAGTTGAAAGGCTCACAAGTAGTGATGTTCCTTTGAGAGTCTCCTCCAACTCGGTGATTCTCTCCTCTTTCTCCCGGGCCTCCTTACGTGATGAAGACAACTCAACCTTTCAAAAATGATAGCACACTTTATAGCACCAAAAACTAAGGCTTTTCCTACACAACACATGTTTAACGGTAGTGCTACAACATGTGGCCATCAACAATGTGCCAGTGGTAAGTGTATTTTTGCTAGTTGCATGCAAGAATCGTAATTATTAGCCATGGTTCAATGGTCAAAGACTTTATTCCAGGTGTAAGTCTGTATGTCAGAAAAGGACTGGTAGTGCACACTGCATTTGAGATCTGTGTCATAGCCTCAATCAGTGCATTCGAAGTCGGTTCGCAATCACTCTCATGGAGCATACACATGTAGCTAGATTCTTGCATTAAGTTTTGCGCACAATTAAACGGACCTTCAGCCCTCCCAGCTGGTTCTCCAGGCGTACTCTGGTGGTTGTCTCGGCAATGTTCCTCTGCCGTAGCTCCACCAGCTCTGACTGAACTATTCTCGACAGCTCTTCGGCCACCATCTGCTGTGACTTGGCCTCGTTCCTCTCCAATACCCCTGGACACAACAGTATCATGGACTATGTAAGACAAAATGTCGCTACTGCATTTTTAATATATTTTCTCGACAAACTGGAGGTTTAGTGGTCACATTCTATTAGTATATAAAACATTGCCACTCTTTGAATATTCTACTCACGTGCTTCTATGAAGAATCCTGAATATTGTAGTACTGTTTACTGTGCCTACAATGGATCAGCAAACTATCGTACTTCTAAAGGTGAGTCTAGTTGCTGAGTTTGCATAGACCTGGATAATTACCATTGCAAATGCTATAGCAGTACACAAACTCTTGCTTTCACCTTCAGCATGCATTCTGCTTTCCTAAACCCTGCAGTTTACAAACACACACCTCAATGCCCACTCTCAAAAGTGTGACATACGATTTCATTGCACAAGAACTGTTAATGGGGAAACTTAAAGGTGTCCTCATTTCAGTGGTGTTCTTATAGAGACGTTAAACTGTATAGCTACTGTAGATGGTATAAACCTGCAGCCTGTTCACTCCGAAGGCGAACAAGCTCCTCAGCCAGTTGTGCTCTCTCCAGAAGTTCTGGTGAAATCTGCAGCTTCGTGTTGCACCCCACCTCCCTTCTCTCTCCCTCCCACCCCTCATTACCATCCGTCTGTGATTCCACATCAATCAGGTCAGGGGGCTCCTCTTTCTCCGTGTTAGTGGATGAGTCTTGAGTGACGGTAGCATGAGTTTGCGAGAATGAATCAACTGCAGTTATATAGTGAGTTTGAGTTTCAGCATCGATCATTGTAGGAAGACGAACCAACAGGGAGTGGGGTTCAAAGGGTCCGTCGCTATGGTTTCCGTTGTCTTGCTCATTGTCTTGGCAACCATCGACAAACTCACCATGGGGTAGTGTGGCTTGTTGGGAAGGGTGGAGTGGGGAGTGTCGAGGGGGAGAGGGCGAACGGGAGGGGGTAGAGGCTGGGGTAATGAAACAGGACGACGTGGGTGAGGTTTGCTGACTATCAGTTGGTGATGAAGAGCGAGGAAGTGGCACCAATGCAGCAGCCGCTAGCGAAATGCCTTCCTCTTTCTCACCGATAGTAATTGTTTGTCCGTTTCCCATTCCGCCAACTGTACCCACTTTCATGTTGGGATTTTCTCCAGTGGTTACCGGGTCCTGCTGTCCCATCCTTGGATGGGACTCACAGTTTTCTCGAGTGGTTACCGGGTCCTGCTGTCCCATCCTCAGATGGGACTCATGGTTTTCTCCAGCGGTTATAATAGGCTCCTGTCCCACCCTCAGATGGGGCTCGCAGGCCTGCACGGTTGTGTAATGCTGCCACATTGTGGTTGCGTCCTCTGAAAGTGAAGCTGCAACCGCAGTGGCGGTGTTCAAGTAAGATTCTGACGAATGTGGATTTTGATCCATCACAGTTCGTGTCATTCGACAGCAAACACCTTGTTGATTCAATGAGCTCGACAAGCGAGGTGATCAAACGCCTACGCAGGATAACTGGATCACCACCCAAGTCCGCTACTAGAAGTTCCGGATCTCAGTGCTTTCCGATCTCCAAAACGGTTGCAGGAGATGCCGTTGAATGAGTAAAGTTGCTGTGTTTGCTCGTCTCTTGTCAGGTAAGTGGGCGTAGCCTTGCCGATTCAGCAGATTTTACGGTGCGCATCAAGTAGAATGTACGCTCTCGTAGATTACGGAGTTGCTCGCGGTGCTGGGTGTCTGCGACGTTATTTCGTGAGTGTGGGCCGTGTAATGGCCAATTCCAAGTACGAATACGTGCGTAAGTTCGAGCAAAGCGACACCTGCCTACCAAACACCTGGATAGTAGTCCGTTTGGACGGCAAATGCTTCCATAGGTGAGAAATGCGGACGTACACAAGATAGATTACGGAATCTTTCACACAATTTAGATTTTCAGAGAGTCATGGTTTTGAAAAGCCTAATGACCTTCGCTGTCTGTCTCTGATGACAAACAGTGCTCAGTGTGTCATGAAGGAATTCTCTGACATTGTTCTCGCCTACGGTCAGAGTGACGAGTACAGGTATTTCCTATACTCCATGTTCCCCATATTATCTTTCTCCATGTACCCGTTCTTCATTACATCATCATTACGTAATCCTAAGAACGGTTCAAAGAGAAGGATACCGTACTTTTAATCAATGTCATGCAGATCTCTGTAATTATAGTTAATTATGTTTTGATTCTCTTTGCTATAGCATGATTTGATGTCGCTTTACTATTTGTTGGTGTATTTTTTGTTCCACTTTAGTTTTGTACTCCGCAGAGACACAACTCTGTACAGCAGGCGAGCGAGGTCAGTGAGCTTTAATTATTAACCCCTCAATATTGTCACCCTCCTCTCCTTTTTCACCTGCAGTAAACTAATCAGTACCATGTCGTCCCACTTTGCGTCATCCTTTGTGTTCCACTGGTCAAAGTTCTTCCCCATCTCACCCCTCCTCTATCCCCCTACCTTTGATGGTCGGGTTGTTCTATACCCCACCTCAGCAAATCTACGTGACTACCTCAGTTGGAGACAGGCTGACTGTGAGTCTTACTGTTCCTCTTTATGTTTTGTCCTCATAACTCTTTCTTACTAAGAAATCCGTCTACAGAAAGTCCAAGGACATTACACTCCTTAATGCAGCATCAAAATAATGGTGTATGTGTGTGTGTGCTTCTTATACGCCTCTGAAAAGTCGTTTACTAGAAATAGAACTGCAAAATGTCCTTGTGAGCAACATGAGATAGTGTATTAACAAAACAACGAGGTTGAAAGACAAATGCAACTCAAAATCTTAACCTTCTTCCTTTGTTTGGCTTTCAGCGTGCCACACGTGTTCTACCAATGGCAAAATTTGCACCTGTGCTTCCAGGAATATTACTTCTATCGTGTTTGCCTAACACATCTCGCTCCACATTCTATGCATGTGTGCTTCTTGGAATTGATACCATAACAGCCGCAAGTGTTTCTTATTTTGACTTCAAGGTGTGGCTTTTCTATGACTCTCATTACGTCGTAATTATTGAAGTCGTTTTTTCATCTCGCCTGATTTTCACCATCAGCAGGCTTTTGTTGTAAGTGGTTGCCTCTGCCTCTTGTTTTGTCTTTCCCCCAGGTCACATCAACAATCTCTACAACACTTGTTTCTGGGCATTGGTCCACGATGGAATGACTAACACTGATGCTGTGAAGCAACTGAAAGTATGTCAATATTCCCATTCTTTAACTAGCGTAGTGTGATAAATCATTCATTCCCTGGCGTTCCTGACCCACTACACTCTGGAATTATTATGTCCTTCCCTAATCAGCACTCTTACCTCCTGTATGAAGGTTCTTATTAATGTGACTTTTCTCAGGCTAACCCTTATATCTATGCTTATGCTATAGCTAGACTGTGCTCTGAAGACGTATATAGCTACTGCAGTTTTTGTGTGCATTACTTGGCTTAGTACAGTCTCTTCGCGACACTAATGTATTGTAGTGTACAAGGACAGTGGATGTGTAGAGAGGACTGCAAGTGCCAGAGAAATAATGTGCAACTGCATCATTGGATACTCTGCCCCGTGTCTGTTAACACTGCATAGTAGTGCGGGGATACAGCAATGAAAGTGCTAACATGTCTGCAACTATCGTGTCCTACAATTCGAGCGATTCGCAGCATAATTGTTTATTGGTTTGCTATCTCTCTAGGGCACGCTGTCTTCTGACAAAAACGAGCTTCTCTTCTCCCGGTTCAACATCAACTACAACAACATCCCACCAGTCTATCGAAAAGGGACCACACTCATTTGGAGCTCACAGAAAGAAACCGTTCGAAGCAAAGATTGCAGTCGTCGTGCAATCAGAAGTCGTCACGACAAAGATATGTTACCAGGAAAGGATTCGAGGGAATGCAATTGAAAGTGATGGTATGCAATCATTTGGTGAGAGTTTGCAAGCCGAGGTAGCCACAGTCACCCCAACACAACAGGGAAATGAACAACTTTCAGTTCGAGATGGATTTACTGAGAGAATTTCGTCACCGACTGAAATCTTAGAAGGGGAGGAATCTGAGCAACTGACTAGTGATAACTCTGGAACTAAAATTAATGAGAAGATAATTGAAGGGGCAATTGCAACAGCAGAGGGGGTAAGAGGTGGGATGAGGGATGGAACGAAGGGTGAAGATGCCAAGGAGAGAAAGACACGCTCTTCGGCCATTGATCCGACCAATCAGAAGGCTCGGAGAACTATATTAGTTCTACATGAAGACATAATCAGTGATTCGTTTTGGGAGAAACACCCTCATATCATTGCTTAATATTATGATTCTCTAAAATCAATATTATTATTCATCCAACACTGCATTCTAATGATAAAAAATGGAAACACAACTTAAAACTAAGCTAATGTTGTGTGTGCTGATGAACATACATTATGCTCAAAACAGTTTCTTCAGGAGGTAGAAACCTCCTGCTAGTATGAGTAGTATACCAGCCAGAATACACTGTGGGGAATCTATTGTCCACGTCCCTGCGTCGAAATGGTCCACAAACGCTCTCCACCCTCCCTGCTCCACCACCCATCGCGACACTGTCCTTTCGACGTCGTTTTGCGTCCAACTAATCACGTCACCGACTCTGTTCTCCATTCCTTCCCTCGCACAGTGGACGGCGAGTGCCCCAGAAAACACGAGAAACGCGAGGATCCTCCCCCAATTGACTCCGTCGATAAACATCTCCTGGACTATGACACTGTACGTCTCGGACAGGTTGTCGTCGGTGAGACCGAGGCGGGAGAGAATGTCTTCAAATTGGCGTTCTCTCTCCTCGGCCAAGTTGCCCGCGAGATGGTGCAGCAGGTGTTGCGACCCGTTCTCTGGTTCTGCGGTGTCCGACGCGGTGTCGTGTTTGCTCGCGACGTCTTCGAATCCCTTCTTGCGGAGTTGGTTGACAATGTAGCGCCGGGCGAAATGACGAAACTTGGCGTTGATGACGGCATCGTTGGGTGACCCTCGACCGAGGTCAGCGTTTCGCTCCTTTTTGAATACACTGTCATTGTCATCACTGTTAGAGTCTTCTCTGAATCCTGTCGGTGGGTTTCTCTCTACCAGAGCCATTCTTGTTGCCGGAAATACGTAAGCTGCTATATATGACAAAGAAGGCAAGACAAACTAAATGTTTCGGTCTTTCAGTGGAAGCCTGAGTGTGGCAGCTTCAATTCTCTTGTCTTGTGGGTTGAAATACGGCCAGTCGATCGCCGTTCACGGCCTTCAAGGACCTAGCCTATACAATAGAAAACAACTGAAAGTGTGAGCGATTTCACCAACGTTGCATAGCTTTATATAGGGGTTTTGGGGACACTTTTTTAGAAACTAAGAAGGTATATTCATTCTATGACATAGTAGCTTTTTGTTCCGGGGTACGGCCAACTTCTGCAAACTCACCGCTTCCGTCAGTTCCAACAAAAAACGACCACTGCACTCTTTCCAGCGTTGAATCCAGGGACGTGGTTTTCGATGAGACAGTCCCAACACCCACCCAGCCTGCCAACTCACACACGGCCACTACTACATATGGCAGAACCGTAGTAGCCGGCTGAAAGTCCCAATAGCTTGAAGAAACGCGCTGTCATCCGCTGAAAACTGCGTGCTTTTGTCTCGTAAACACTCCGTAATCTTTAATCGTCACGCTCCGCTTACTCAACAACAAAACCCGTATACTCTCCGAATACTCTACCATTGGTAAATCATGGCGAGCAAGCAGAAGGTTTACCCGGTCGACTCGAAACAGAAGCTGCAGGAACACGAGGAAGAGAACAGCGACGAGCTCCGCGACACTAAGGACGCGTTCTACCAATATGTGTTCGCCAAGGCCTCGCGCGACAGGCAGCTGAGCCAAACCGAAGCTGTTACCCTCAAAGAAGTGAAGGCGGAGCTGGAGAGCAGCGAAGAGACGCACGGCTCTGGAGACGCCGCAGAGATGGGACGAAGGCTCGCGGAGATCGGTGAGCGAGCAGATTACAACAGCTGGGACGGTTGTTTATAGGAGGGGTCGCATTATTTGGAAAACTTTAAAAGGGGCGTTCTCCCGCTTGTCTGTGTTTTGGCATTCGGCTCTTAGTGTGTTTGTATAGCTTCGAGTGTAGTTGAGTGCCTAGAAAACCCACTAAGTGGCTGCAGCATAGAACATTATGAGCTTTCACTTATGCACATTCACTCCTTCCCTAATAGTAGTCAGACTTTTGTGGTCATGTGCACTGCATGCACACAGTGTTTCTTAATAGGGAAAGAGAGGGGAAAGAGGGGTGTTCCCTACCCCTGTGAAGAAAGGTGTATGAATGGGAAATAGAGGGGTATTTTTTTCTTCATACCTTTTTGTGAAAGGTATTAATGGGAAATAGAGGGGTATTTTTTCTCCCTATATACGCCTGTGTAAATGGGAAATAGAGGGGCATTTTTTCTTCATACCCTTTTGTGAAAGGTATTAATGGGAAATAGAGGGGTTATTTTTTCTCCCTATATATGCCTGTGTAAATGGGAAATAGAGGGCCATTTTTTCTTCATACCCTTTTGTGAAAGGTATAAATGGGAAATAGAGGGGCATTTTTTCTTCATACCCCTGTGAATAAAGGTGTATGAATGGGAAATAGAGGGGTATTTTTTCCTTTTGTGAAATGTATAAATGGGAAATATGGTTTTTTCCCCTCCCTATATACCTCTTTGGAAACAGGTATATTATGGAGGACAATTGGGGGTAGTTTTCTAAGATAGTTGTGCACCCTCTAATTTGATGTCTCATGCCCAGTTGGTTCCCAGGGGACTAAATTATTGTTGCTGTGTGTCATGTTTGCATGTCTCGACAACTTGGTAGCAAGGTAGAAAGGCAAGGCAAGGCAAACAAGTCAACTACACCCAGGACAGCTCTTCCTTTTCAAGGAAAAGAAGAAGAGCTGCCCTGGGTGGGATTCGAACCCACGACACTCAGGACAGCTCTTCCTTTTCAAGGAAAAGAAGAAGAGCTGCCCCGGGTGAGATTCGAACCCACGACACTCTGCAGTCTAGGCGAGCGCTCTACGATAGACGACGCTCTTCCATTTCATAGTCAAGGGATATTCACAGTGTGTTTGATACCGAAACAGACACTGACTATTGCACACGCATCAACTCTTTAACGTATATCGAATGTAGCTACAACTTATATAGCTACAGCTCTCTTGTGGTACTACACAAGCTGTGCATTGTCTTGCAAGACCATGATTATAGCTTCCTCTATGAGAATGTGAGATGTACATTATTAATGAGCAGTGATGTGTGCACAACTCATGGGGGGATATTGCTTACGTAGGAGCATCACGTGTGACATAAACCGTAAATTTGCAGGTAAGTTTACATCTCACTGCTTGGACGCATTTTACAGCACTTACTTAGGCTTGTAGACGACAAAGAGTTGAGTACGAGTTGTATTCAACGATAAAATGTTGCACGGGCATGCAACATGTTGCCCACAATAGAAGTATCAAAATGATGTTTCGTTGTGTATCATGGCCTATCAATGTTCTCCCTCCCTCACTCACCACTCCCTCCCTCCCTCCCTCCCTCCTATCGACACAGGAGATGAGGTGGACGCTCTCTACCACGACGAGATGGTAGACATCGTGCAGATGACAGGTTCACCGGAGAGAGCGTACGGAGTGTTTGTGGACGTCGTGAAGAATCTCTTTGAGTGGGACGAAACCACACATAGAGGTCAGAGTCCAGCTAATTACGAGCTGGATTGGTGGAGGGAGGGGAAATGGAAATTTTGCATAAACAGTAATATGCAGAGTCGCACATACATGTGTCTATAAATTGTGGGGGAAGTGAAGGACGAGATAGGGGGAAAATACGAGAGATGTAGTATAGGCAAAATAGGGGTTAATGACAGAAGTTGGTGCGAAATTGAAAGGTTGTGGAAATGAACCGTTGGAGCAGTAAGTTTTGCAGGGACATACTGTGCATTGAGGTGGAAACATTTAAGAGGGGTTCCCCCTTAATGAAACCTACGCTATGTGTACCTCATTCTTCTCTTTCCTTTCTTCCTTTACTCACTCTCTCTCTCACTCACTCTCTCTCTCTCTCTCTCTCTCTGTCTCTCTCTGGTCCTCCACTTCCCTCCCCTCCTCGATCAGCCAACATAACAATAGGTAGACTAGGAGCCCTCCTAGCCTATGCCTACCACCTGTGCAAGCACTACATCAAGACAAACGCACGGGTCAACCTCGTCGTGACCTTCCTTGGAGTTGTGACTACCTGGCTGTTCAGATTTCTCATCAAGGCAAAGTTCTACGAATGGCTGGAGAGCATGGGAGGATGGGTAAGTCAGTACTATACAGTACTATGCCTCCGTAATTTCTGCTAACCTAAAGGGAATGTGTCAATACAAGCGCTAACAACTAAACAATAGGGTCCAGTGCAAGAATCCAATTTGGTTCCGTTAACGTTTTCTAAATTTAGCTCTTGTACCACAAATTTACTAACCTAATACTACATACATGCAGGTGTGTGGTATAAAGAATACTAGCTCTTAACTCCTCGTTTGGTTGATACATGTACTGTACATATACATGTGCTGGAGTGGATTGGGGGTGTGGCCTAAACTTTTCGTACTTTTAGCAAGCAAGTGGGGGGAAGGACAAGCCAACCAACCATCCTGAATGCCTTGACTATAGCTGGAGTGTGCGAGTGACAATAATCCTCAGGAGTGACTGTGGAAAATAGGGTGGCCTAAACTTGCACTTTTAGCAAGCAAGTGGGGGGAAGGACAGGCCAACCAACCATCCTGAATACCTTGACTATAGCTGGAGTGTGGAGTGAAATAATCCTCAGGAGTGACTGTGGAAAATAGGGTATCTAAACTTTTCGTACTTTTAGCAAGTAAGTGGGGGGAAGGACAGGCCAACCAACCATCCTGAATACCTTGACTATAGCTGGAGTGTGCAGTGAAAATAATCCTCAGGAGTGACTGTGGAAGATAGGGTGCCCTAAACTTGTACTTTTAGCAAGTAAGTGGGGGGAAGGACAGGCCAACCAACCATCCTGAATACCTTGACTATAGCTGGAGTGTGCAGTGAAAATAATCCTCAGGAGTGACGTGGGAAGAATAGGGTGGCCTAAACTTTGTACTTTAGCAAGCAAGTGGGGGGAAGGACAGACCAACCAACCATCCTGAATACCTTGACTATAGCTGGAGTGTGCAGTGAAAATAATCCTCAGGAGTGACTGTGGAAGTAATAGGGTGGCCTGAACTTCTTGTACTTTTAGCAAGCAAGTGGGGGGAAGGACAGACCAACCAACCATCCTGAATACCTTGACTATAGCTGGAGTGTGCAGTGAAAATAATCCTCAGGAGTGACTGTGGAAGTAATAGGGTGGCCTGAACTTCTTGTACTTTTAGCAAGTAAGTGGATGGAAAGACAGACCAACCAACCATCCTGAATACCTTGACTATAGCTGGAGTGTGCAGTGAAAATAATCCTCGGGAGTGACTGTGGAAAATAGGGTGGCCTAAACTTGTCGTACTTTTAGCAAGTAAGTGGGGGGAAGGACAGGCCAACCAACCATCCTGAATGCCTTGACTATAGCTGGAGTGTGCAGTGAAATAATCCTCATGAGTGATCTGGAAAATAGGGTGGCCTGAACTCTGGGGAGCACATATCCTGTGTGTTAAGGCAGTGCGGTCGACAATGTTGTACATTGCCTCATAGGAGATAAAACTGCAGAGCTGAAGTACATACTCTTTTAGGCGGTTGAACCACTCTGTTTATTTGGAGTATCCTTCTCACTGTAGCTGGTTAGTTATTGGCTTCCCGGCCTATGTAGCCATACCCCTAATCTTTATACTGTCCGATTGGAGATTTATGTGAAGAATTCGTGCGCTATTAATAATGAATAGACTCCTTTTATCCATAGTGAAATTGAAATTCCTCCTCCAGGAAGCGAGGTGCGTTTCATGTGCCCTGGCGTGAAGTATTACTGTATGAGGGTTTGTAATTTGCTTCTATTTCCAATATGGATGTCCGGTGTTGGGTGACAGAGAGAGTGCCAGATGTATGATGTTGCCCAACTGTTGGTAGCAGGTTTCCTCTAAGGTTAATTCTCACCATGAACTGCGGTGTAAACTATGGTGTACAGTGTGTGTATATGTTTATGCTGTGAAGCCCACCCACTATTGGGGCAATATTGAATAGGAAGAGTAGGTAAAATGGAAATTGGCTTGCCTGACACACACCATATTGCAACGTGCTTTTTCCCCTCTTGGCATCACATGGTCTAATACCTTCATGTATAGATACACTGTTCCTAGTATAGTGTATGTACTCTGAACTCTTGAAGATGTAATTTTGATGCATAACTGTAACTTAGAATTCAACCCATGAAGTTTAAAAAAAACACAAAATGTTGTCAGGTATATACCCCTTTCTTCCTTTCTTACTCTCATTATAACGTTCAGTTCTTCTTTAGTACCACACCCTGTGATGTAGCTGTCACAGGAATTTCACTCTCTCCCTCCCTCCTCCCTCCCTTCAAAAATGCTCAATATCTCCCTCCTCCCTCCCCCCACCAAAACCTGATCTGTGAAGAATTCGAGGCATGGTCTTCATTTGTCCCAACAGTTGTAGCCCGGCCTCTCCCTCTCACCTTCTCTGGGATTTGTGTAACACTACACTCAGTCCCTCGAGAGTTAAGGCTTCAATTGGTCTCCGTAGAACACTGCTACGCATGCAATTTAAAGTATAGGTGTATGTGGTAATTACTGCACTGCTATGATATCACTTAATGCAAGTGTTTGTTTTAACCGCCTGTTGAATCACAAAGGTCACCTCCTTTGCTCTGGGTGCGTGGTCTATGGCTATTACTGCACAACTGTACTGCACTGCTTTCCCTTTAAAATGTATATACATACGCCCTTCAAATGGGGACATCTCTCTAAAATAGGCACCCTTTCTCTCCCCAAGAACAGCAATTCAACTCCTGAAATCTACTGTCCCAATGGTGTCTAGAGGGGTTCCACATAGAACTGTATGATCAATGGTGTCTATATAGTTTAGAGGGGGTTCCACATAGAACTGTATGATAGATGCACCATACCTTATAGTCGTGGTGTATGCTTCAGAAGGTCCAGCCCTACCCATATGCTTCTACTGCTGTTTGTACCATCTGCGTGCACAGCCAGTGGCACGTATTCTGAAACGATACCTTAGTCACGTTTCATCAAATTTGTAGTTGGTTTGAAAGAGGTATGTGTAGCTCTGTTTTGTTCGCATAATATGTAATATGGTGTGTACTTATATATACATGCAGCTTCGCCCATGCACAGTGTACATATTTGAGGTTTGCCCCTGTGTATTGAATATTTGAGCCCTTACCGAGCTACTGAGCTTCCTTGGTAGCTCAGTAAGTGTTCTTCTTACCGAGCTACTGAGCTTCCTTGGTTCCTCAGTAAGTGTTCTTCTTACCGAGCTACCGAGCTTCCTTGGTAGCTCAGTAAGAAGAACACTTTGTGTACAATGCACGTGTTGTGGGCTCGAATCCCACCTAGCTGGGCATTTTTAAAAAAAATTTTATCGGTGTAAAAAGGCCTTGTCCTGGGTATCCGTTGCTTGCCTCGTAACTGCATGTGCATTGCAACGTAGAAGCAAGCTAGTGTGGAGGAGGGAAAACAGTCCAACGACAGTCCTGATTACCTTCACTACACTGTACATAGCTGGAGTGTGAAGTGTAATTATCCTTCTAAACTATTCGTACTTTTTGCAAGGAAGTGGGGGGAAGGACAGACAAACTAACCATACTGAATACCTTGACAATAGTAGAAGCATGCAGTACAATTAACCATTAAAGAGTTGCTGTCGAGAAAAACGTGGCCTAAACTTTCGGTAAGAAACTAAACTGAACTGATTACACACGGTTTAGACAAAAGATGTAGTGCTTCTTTAGTTGGTAGTTATTATTATCGCAGCCTGACCTCCTGTGTGAAAGTCCCCTAATGGACCTAGCTAGTACAAACGGCCTAAAATAGCACAGGATTCCTCAGTAGATGCGATTGCTGTACAAACCCTGGACTTAAAAGGAGGGACAAAGAAAGCAGGCGAGAGTAGCATAATGCCTACTCCGACTCTGAAGCCACAAAAGTCGGCGCTGAGGGGGTTATGACGACAGACGAGGAGTGGAATCACTCATCCGTGATGATGTAATCTCTTCGGCAGCCAGACAGGCGACTTGGAGGGAAGAAGGAAGGGAGAGAAGGAGGGAGGGAGGGAGAGAGGGATGGAGAAACTAAGTACAGTTTTATGGGCGGGTGCCTTTTTACTGTGGGACAAGCAAAGTTTTTTCTTTTTGAAATTCTAGGTTTACACCTAATCGGGAGGTTTTATTTATGTAAATTTTACTGCCATTCCAAATGTTCTCGCCATGTATGGCATCCATTGGTGTGGAGGTACAATGCCCCCCCCCTGACAAGCCTGTTTTGTTTGTCTGGCAGTCAACTCTGCTTTTGCTTGCATGCACACTCGGCTGGGGTTTTTTGGCTGAATCAACAGACGCTGTCGCACGATTCTACTGCCTACGACCTAATATGCAGGGTACATACAGTCCAGTAATAACGCATAGTATACGTCTGAATATGCTACTGAATACATCCAGTACATGTGCTTGTATGCGTGTGTCTATAATTGTGTGTGCAAGCCTTCGTGCTAACTAGGGCTTGTTGGTCCTGAATCTGTTTGTGTAAACATTCTACAGCCAGTGGGGCAGCCATAGTGTGGTAGTATATGTACACATAGACCACCAGCGGTAAAATAAGCAGAGCGAGTGTTGAAATCACAACATCAACACATTGCAGGGGGGAAGTTGTCACAGCTTCCCTCCCGAGCTGTCTCTTCTCCGCCTGCTCTGGGAGGGTTTTTTTATTGTACGGACTACAGCAGAAGTCCTCCAATCTGAGCACCAATGGGACAGAACATTGCGGTTCTATCATGCACTCTAAGAACGTTCGTAGCGTGGAATGATCAAGGACTTCTTTTTCTTGTCTCCTTGTCCCGAGTGGAAGTGCCTCTCAGGCGTTTCCTGAGAGAGTGATTGCATCGTATAATACATATGCAGGGAATTTTCATTTAGGAAAGCACGACAACAACAGAAAGCACTTTAATCGTTCTACCTAGTTACTGAAATTCTCAACGTCTCTTGTCCGCACCAAACAAACGACACGGACTGTTTCACTCAATTTTGCGATACTTAAGTAAAACCTGCTCTGCCAATTCATTCCTCATAATCAATGACATATAGCTTTGGTCTTTCTTGATGTGTGTTTTCTGCAGGAGGTTGTATTGCGTTATTGACTCTGCGCATGCTCAGTACGCGCGCAGCTCTTCCTTCCTTGTGCCAAAGTTAGTTACTTTGTATATGGAGATGAGCAACTTTGATATGTGTTGATGATTGCAGCACATTTTATACTACGTACTTACTGCACACCGCAATTTCATTCGTGAGTACGCGCTGCGCACCCAGACAGTCTAAGGGACGCTAGAGGAAATGATACAATAGGGATTTCCTTGCAGGTTTAACGATATCATCTTAAAAGGAAGTTACTTTTTACGGTGCACCGCTTCCAACAGAGGTAGAGATCAACGTGTTTGAATGGTGGAATAATTACTCGTTGTCCGTCTTCTGCCTCTCCTGATGGCTCCCACAGTTTCTGGCAAGCTGTAAATAATACTTTGCCTCGGGGACAGTAGTATTGCAGCCATCTTTTACTACAGTTGAACCAGCTATAGGACACACATGAATGTGTACAATTTCTTCCTAATGAGGGACCCTCATTCTTTCCAAAAAACGGTTCCTGATGCAATTAACCAGTTTAATTAGTTAGGGGACACCTATCAATACGGCTTCGTCCCATGGGGTTCAGGATTGGAGGTTACCAACTACCTTGCCCAGGCCCCCTATGGAAGGGGTATATCACAGTGGCTTACTACTAGACCTTGACCCCAGTGCTTGCAATGACTACCCCCAGGAACAAACTCGGGCACTAAATCAGTTCTAAACCTAATGGTGTCTAGAGCTGCTCTCCCAACAACCTCTATGATGAGTGGACCGTCAAAATAAAGTGTATGTAAGACCTTTTGCACCAATAGCGGTCACAGCTGGATTGTTCTTTTAGTTGATCACCACTCGTGTCTCGATGGAAGTCAATTCGGCAGATATCCGAATCGCTGACAGAGTGTCATTGTCGCGAGTCACAACATACCGCTGGGTTTGATGTTGATCACGTAGATGGACGTTACAGTGTACGC